ACAGAAACCAATAGTGGGCTTTAAATACCTCTTTTAGTGCCACTTTCCAATTGGACAACTGTAACGCAACTGCCTGTACAGGTGGAGCAGGGATTCTTTGTGTCGGCACCCCCCTAGGAGAGGTATCGGAAGGCACTGAATTCTAGCATTCTAGTGTGTAGCCAAAATGGCAGTGTTGTAATTATTTGCAGGTTGCTGTCACTCTACTACCCAGCACTATCCTAGGAAATAGGCCTAGGGATATTCGCCTATACATTATTCCTTCGTTGCAATGAAGTCTGGCTTGGTTCAGCAGAATATGCCCAAGATTCCAGAACACTCTGGCCATTAAAACTTGGTCGAACAGTATGTGCATAAACCTTCTCTTTCTGTTCCCCCTAGATGGAACAAGCATCATCTAGTCATCCACATTCAAAACATTTAAACACTACCACAAAAACATTAAACACCCACAAAAATGTAAACATTGCCTACTTTACTGGTAAACAGCTTATGGTCTTCAACACAGTTCTACATAATCAGCTGTTTCTTATTTATCAACGGATTAAAATATAAGACAACTGTTTACTGGAAACCCCTGGCACATCCAGTTTAAGGGCCCATTCACACCATGTCCGGATCAACTCCAGACCAGACCTGATTGTTTCCGGACCCAAAATGCATCCTAATGTATCCCTATGCTATGTCTGGCCTCTGTTCACACAGCCTGTTCCAGACCAGACCAGAAGAATACTGCTTGCCTTATTTGGTGTGGTCTGGAATGCACTGGAACGCATAAAAACGCACTGGGAAGCACCTGTAAGACCATTTTAAGCTAAAAAAAATGCAGCAAAATCATGGCAAAATCGCTGTAAAAATGCAGCAAAATGCAACATCTGGTCCGGAAAATGGTGTGAACTTGCCCTAAAGCGGACCTTTACCCCCTTTGACTAAAAATCCCATCAGCATACAGTTCTGCATGCTGATATGAAATCATCTTACATTCATGACCTAAACACACATTTTTATTTTACTTACATTTTTTTTCCCACTTTCTGGTCCACCTTGGCACAAATTATGTAATTTTGCCCAAGCATTGCATCCTGGGAAGATTACATCAGCAGAGCATTGCCGGGAAATCTCTTCTGTAATCTCATGAGATTTCAGGGAAAGGCATTTCCTTCCCTGAGATGATGTGCATGTCCTAGTCACATGTGCCAGAGTTCCAGGAAGTAAAGGGAGATGGATTAATCTGCCCTTAGTTAAATTGGCCAATGTGAGAAGAATGAGAAAGAAAAATAAGTTATGCAAAAAATAAAAAGCCGGCAATTATCTAGAAGTATCTGTTTACGGATTGTCCTTACTAAACATTTCTAAAGGTGTCTTTTGTTGTTTTGAAGATATGGGTAAAGTTCCTCTTTAACATTGCTCAGTCATGCATGACTATCCCAAAAACATGAGATACAAGACATTTACAAAATTTGCTCACATCGGAAGTGAGATAGTTAAGCGTGTTCAAGCAGTCGACCACAGTTGACTATAATTGATAAGGCTTAATATATATTTAGAGAATAGTTATGTTCTTACAACGCTGCACCTGTATGCTAAAAGTCATTATTATGAGCAGGCTATATTGCAATAGTCTTGGACACAAAACATTTTAGGTCTAGGACTAGGTGGAGCCTGGTTGGCTGAGTCAACCCCTGGTACATCCAAGATATTCTAAAAAGCCAGATCCCTCCCTTACTCTTTTCCACCTGGCAGATTTGGGAGTTCCTTTGTGTGCTCCAACTCCTTTCTGTTTCCTTAATTTAAAGAAATACAATCCGAACAGATATAATGGTCACAGCAGATGTGCAGACCCAGGAGCTCAAGTGGAATAATCTCCCCAGAGATGCAGTCTATAAAATTTATTAGGTGGTTATGAGGCAATGTATAGTGGCTTTGTATATATTTTATTTACAGTATTATGGTCAGGTCTACAAAAATACATTTAGAAATATTCTTTCTTGTAGTCATATTAGTATTATACATTCTCACGGTCAGCTGACCCTTTAGGCTCCGCTTTTTCCAGTTGCCTCTTACCTTCTGCCAGAGGATGCCTGTTGTTACACAGTTCAGTCTGCAATTTACACACACACACACACACACACACACAAGAGAATGAGTCAGAGGAGTGATTCTTCTCCCCCCTCCCACACTGTGAAGCTCTGTCGGAAGTTTTAATCTAGCCATACACGGCTGGAAAGAGAGAAGACGAAGAGTGTATGCCCAACCTAGACAGAGTGAGACAAAGTCAGTTTCTGCTATGCTCTCCCTTTGTATAACCTTAAAATGCTTAGGAAGTACTTTGTCATATTTTAAAGAAGAACTCCAGGAATTGTTGTCATTAACCCTTGCAGTGGGGCTATCCCCACACTGCAAGGGTTAAGTGCTCATTTGAGTCTAGATTAGAAAAAAAAGTCATACTCACCCGAAGCTCTAAACCGGCTTCTTCTTAGATCGGCCCTTCCGTCTCTCCCCCTCCTCTTCAGCGGTCTAAGGTCCTGTAAACCATCAACGTCTATACCCAGTGTATAGACATGAGGATGGTAAGGAATATTTCAATGCTGCAGGGAGGGGGAGACAGGCTGGAGGGAGCACTGTGACTGCTGACTAGCACAGAGTTTTGGGCAGGTATAACCTTGTTATTTTAGCACCTAGACGAACATGAGCACTTAACCCTTACAGTGCAGGGGTAGCCCCACTGCAAGGGCTAATAACAAAATTCCTGGAGTTCTTCTTTGACCACTTTAGTCCCTGAGCTTTATCTCCCTATACCCCTCTCGAGTCCCAGAGCATTTTATTTCCTTTGGAGATGTATTTGTTCTGCAATAATATACCTTTCAACTGTAGTTTACCTGAAATAATTATCTTTTTTTGTGGGAATATAGGGCTTTAATTTGGTTGCAGATTTGAATACATGTATTTTTATTTCCTAGGTTTTAATAATAAATGTTATTAAAATTGTAATAAAATAAGAAATTTGACATTCTTTCTGGCAACCATGGGTGCCGCGTCCTCCAGACTAAAGAGGAGAGCGACCTTCTGGCTTGTTATCAGCGCTCAGTTAAAAAGCCTGCATCTCTGGCGGGGGTGCATTGGTGTGTATGGAATGGGCAGCTTCCACATCTGGAAAGGCACCATCAATGCTGAAAGGTATATCCAGGTTTTAGAGCAGCATATGCTCCCATACAGATGACATCTTTTTCAGGGAAGGCCTTGCATATTACAGCAGGACAATGCTAAACTGCATACTACATCTATGACAATAGCATGGCTTCATAGTAGAAGAGTTCGGGTGCTTAACTGGCCTGCTTGCAGTCCAGACCTTTTACCAATTGTAAATATTTGGTGCATCTTGAAACAAAAGATATAACAAAAAAGGACTGTTGAGCAGTTGGAATCCTATATGGGATGGCATGGGACAACATTCCTCTCCCAAAACTCCAGCAACTGGTCTCCTCATTTCCCAGATGTTTACAAAGTGTTGTTATAGGAAGAGGGAATGTTACTCCGTGGTAAACATGGCCGTGTCCCAACTTTTTTGAGACATTTTGCTGCCATCAACTTCAATATTACATTATTTTTTTCTTAAAATGGCCCATTTTCTCAGTATAAACATTTGATATGTTTTCTATTTTCTATTGTGTATAAAATCTGGGTTTGTGAGATTTGCAAATCATTGTATTCTGTTTTTATGTAGATTTTACACAGCGTCCTAACTTTTTTGGAATTGGGGTTGTATGTGGACTACAATCCCTGCAGCTTAAAAGTTGTATTAAGTTATGATGGGAGTACTTCAGGCTTGTCAGCAGCTGTTTTGGCAGCAGCATAGGTTTTTTTAAATTGCTGTCTGAGTCACCTTGTCTATGTGTCCTGGTGGCCGTTAGCACTGACAGTAAAAGAAAATTCCAAATTTTGACTTGTCACCAGAACAGAAATACAGGTGAAATCTTCCAATGGGACACTAATTCTGTCCTAGAGAGAAGGATGAGAGATCAGAGATGGGGAATGCTGATCTTTCCTCCTTCTCTCTACTACGGTAGTAGCCACTGTTCTCGGTCCCGGGCACCGCAGGGGGACAGCGGTGCCCAGGATAAGCATCAGCGGCAACAGAGGGGCGTCCTGACTTCCTGTTTTAGGGTAAGGCTAGGTTCACACCTGAGCTGGTGAGCTGTTGTCGCATGTATTTGTTTGCTTTGAAACTGCGGTTGTCAATGCATAGAGATGTCTATGGGACCCAAACCGCCTGAAAATAGCTCCTGCACCTTTTTGCGCAACAGGCGATTTCGACCGCGCGATGCAAAGCAAAGGTATGAACAGCCTCAAATGATTTACATGCGGATCTCTGTTTTGTGCGATAGCCTGCGGATTTCGCCTAGGTGTGAACCTGGCCTAAATGGACATCTGTTGTAGATGGTGTCCTCCATTGTGATCTAGTACTGGACAGGAAGTTCAGGGAAGCCAAGCTAAGAGAGTTGGAGCTGTTTGGGAAAATAATGACCGTAAGTGCTTGGGGAAAAATATACAGAAATCCTTCACTGGGCAATGTACGGTGTGTTTGTTTTTATTTGGATCAGTTATTTGATCTGGTTCTATTATTGATTAATTCCATCTGGATTCATTATTGAGTCATTATTCGATCTGGATTCATTATTTGATCTGGATTCATTATTGAGTCATTATTTGATCTGGCTTCATTATTCGATCTGGTTTCATTGATTCATTATTCAATCTAGATTCATGATTGAAAACCAAGTCTGATAGTTTAATACTCCTTTATCTGCACTATGCTATAATGTATGACCATGTAATTAATGACCATGACCATTGCAGAAGCTCGTTTATTGAGACCCGTGACGTGCCTGGTTCTATTTCCTGACACTGGACAAGCCATTAGCTCGTTATTTGCTCTGCTCTATGGAGGAGATGTCACTTGTGCCGGAACACAACTAGACTGCAGCCAATAGGCGCTTCCTGTTCTGAGCAGCACTGAGCGCGCCCCGGCTCTGCGCGTATTGTGCCGCCGGTGACCAGCAGCCGCTCAGCGTGACCCTCCCCACCTCGACGTGCACGCCGCGACGTCGGAACGTGGCATTGTGGATAGTGACGCCGAGCGGCGGCGTGAGAGAGTTTGTGTGTACGAGACCGAGCGGGGTGTGAAGATGGCGGACGGGGAGGCTGAGCCGGAGAATGGCTCCTGCCCGGACCTGGCCGCCGAAATGCCCCGTTTGGAGGAGCGGCTGCTGGGCGTGGAAGGTCAGCTGCGGGCAGCGGGAGCCGGCGGAGGGGAAGACGAGGCCGTGCAGGCGGCGAGCGATTACTGCCAGCGCTTCTGTCAGGTGAGGAGAGGGCTCCGTGTGCACGGGCCTGGGCGCCATCTGACTGCTGTAATGGTGGAGGGTGCGCGGGGCGGGATCGCTGGCTCCTTTGTGTGTTTACATGCTGCATACATATGTAGAGAGGCCTGTCACCTTCTGTGCACTGCAGCCTCGGGGATCCCCTCCACAGGGTGTGTACATGCTCATCTCATGTTTAACCAGGCCGGCATGTGTCATGTGTGCCCATTGTACAGTGCTGGGTATATGACCTGCTTGGCCGCAGCCTTCTGTGTGTGACAGACAACATCCTCCATGGATCTCCCCGCCCCCACTCCTCTGATCTGCGGCCGCCCGCCTTCTGTCTGGAGCCAGACACTGGCATGTGTACGATCTGTACGGTGCTAGCTTTTGTATGGCGATGTAATGGATCTCTGTTCCTTATGGATGGTGTACAGGAAAGGTCCATTCAATGTCTGCTGTATTGTGAAGGGGGAAAGGGAATTGCTCACTTTTTTTCATTCTTGCATGCAGGGGACTCGGTGCTTCCTCTCGTGTTTAATGACCTTTTATGTCATATTTTGGTGCTGTCGTTGTTGCTGTGACTCCCTTCTGTAGCTTCTGTTTATTACTCACAGGTCAAATCCAAATACTTGCCACCTTCTGTAATCCTTTGTTGCATCTCTGTGCTGCTGTTCTCATGCAACCACTTCCGGTTTAGATGCATGCACTCCAGCGATGGCTGCATGGCATTTACTGGACCATGTCTGTGTAATGTGTATTGCAGTCTACATTGGAAGCCTGTGTGAAGGGGCAGGGACAGTGTTGTCACTCTCACAGGAAGTGTCTAAACAAGGACCCCTCTAGCAGGAGTGACAGGTCTTTTTAATAGACGCTGCAGCCTTAAAAAAAGGGTTGAGAATTCACTTTGATATTGCATTAAAAGAGAACTATGGCCCAAACCTTTTGGGTCATATGAGGACATTTACTAATGTCCTCCTGTGACCCAAAACTCAGCAAATAGTGGGCTATTGACCACTTTTGTTGACAGCACAGAGCCGTGCTATGGCCTGGAAAGATCCTGGCAATATTGTCAGGATCCACCCTGCTACCTGACTGACAGCTGGCTCTTCCTATCTAGAGCCTGCCCCACTTCCCCTTCTGTCCCTCTAAGGAGGGGGAATCCCTGTGGGGGGTGGTGACTGACTGTCACCGCTCTCTGTAGGGAGATGGTCGGGAACTGAGTGATCAGCGTTATGTGATCGCTTAGCTCTCAATCAATAGAGCCGACGTGTGTCAGTGTCACATGTTGGCTCTAATTATGGGTAGGAGTGTATTTTATTCACCCCATAGTTCTCCTTTTAAAGCTGAACTCCGAGATAAAATAATTTTTTGACAGTTGCTTTGTAGAAATCTGCTGATTGTTGGCCTATATCTGCCCGCTGCTGCATTTGATAAAACGTACTGTCGTGAATCCTGTATACTGCTGAAAGTGCCAAACCTGCGGCACTGAAACGTAGTCGCGGTCCTTGTACAGTTCTCACAGCGAGTTGCTAGCTACTCATAAAACATCATGGGGGAAATATTTTTAGAACTGGAGCAGTTGCCCATAGTAACCAATCAGCTTCTCTTCAGTTTGTTCTGTTAAAGGAGAATTATGAGGTGAGTGATTTTTCACTCAGCCTCATAATCTGAGCCGACCTGTGACAATGAAATTGTCACAGGTCGGCTCAGTAGATCGGGAAGTGAGCGAACACATACCGGCGTTCGCTCACTTCTCGATCCTGTGCCGGCAGAGAGACGTGACAGGGGAGGGACTGGATTTCCCTCCAGCGCTGACTGGCGGAAGGGGGCGGGTACAGCTGGCTCTGCCTCTAGATAGGCAGAGCCAGCTGTCTCTCACGCAGCTGGGTGGATCCAGACATAATTGTCGGGATCCGTTCCAGCTGCGGCGTCTCAGTATATACTGAGCTTTGGGTGACGGGAGGATGCTAGTTTGTGTCCTCCCGTTACCCTTAGGAGAACTATGGGGAAAAGCCGTAACCCCATAGTTCTACTTTAAGCTTTAAAAACGAATGATAGAAGCTGATTGGTTGCCATGAGCAACTACTTCAGATTCTGTCTGCTCCAGCTTTGATAAATTCCCATCCTTGTGTTCATTTCACAAGCTATAAGGCACTCTGATTGGACAAGCAGAGATTTTAATGTTCATTCTCCCCTTGTCCAATCACAGAGTGCTTTGTACTCTGTGAAAAGAACTCAAGACGTTTTATGAATGGCTGAGGTGGTGAGCCAGCAACCCCCCTAAGATGGTAGGGCAAACTCTGGCTCCAGCTGTGGTGATGCCTCTGGGAGTCATGCCTGTGGCTGTCAGTTTTGCAATGCCTAATAGGATTTGTGGTTGTACCACAACTGGAGGGCCGGGGGTTTGACTGCTCCCTGAGCTGTGACTGTAAGGCTGGGTTCACACCTAGGCGTATCGAATATGCGTGTTTCGTGACGCGTGCTTTTACTGCGATTCGTAATAAAAAACCGCTCGACAAACGCGTGTTTCTGAGGTCTACCTGGCTGTATCCCAATGGATACGCGTGGCAAATACGCCCCAAAGAAGCTCCTGTACTTATTTGGGCGTAGTGCGTTTTGCAGCGCATTCCTACACACTGTAAAACGCCCAGGTGTGAACCATACCCATAGGCAATCATTGCTTTTCACATGTTGAGCGTTTTTACAGAGCGTAGGAATGCGCTGTAAAACGCCCAGGTGTGAACCAGGCCTAAGGTTCAGTTCTATACAGGAATCATGACAGCAAGTTTTACCAAATGTAGCAGCAGTCAGATATGGGACAACAATCGGTATAGTTATTTTATATTTACAAAGCAATTTTCTAAATATTTTTTATTTTGTAGTACAGCTTGAGCATGTTGAAATTTATGAGATTTGAGTGCTTAGGGTTTAGATACACCTTTTAACGCCCCTTGACCCAGTAATGTGTGTTCTGACATTCTTGCATGGGTTACATTTTTGCAGATTGGTTTTTGTGATCATTTATGCTATGACAATTGTGGCTTCTGCTTACTCCTCACAGGTCACATCCCAATACAGGCCTCCTGTTATAGTATTTTGTTTGTGTCAAGGAGTTGTTAGATATTTAAAGAAAAACATATAATGCCAATATGCATATACAACAGGGTGAGGACTTGTTTACACCATTGCGTTGCAGTACTGCAGTTTATACAGCATAGCACAGTCGCTGGGAGGTGTGTTGGTATCATTCAAATGAATGGCAATGCACCAGCGCATGGTCCCGTACAGTACGTGCACTGAGCGATAGCGTGTGCTAAATACACAGATACCGTGCAGTGCTAGAAAGCAGTAGATATATGCAAAAACATTTTAAAAAATAAGTTACCAAAAATGTAATTACCTCATGTCGCCGCCGCTCGCTCCCATCTCAAGATCTGAAGCTTCTCGAGCGGCCGCGCCGGATGATGGGGTGGGCGCATGCGCAGTAGAGATCTTCGGCGGGGAGAAGAGACACAGTGGAGGTGAATGCATGCAGCCGACAGACATAGAAGACACAGACAGCAGTCTGATGGATCAGAGACCTGCACCAGCGCAGGAGGGTTTGCTGAATACAAGTGGAAGGAAGAAGGTGAACAGATCAAGAGGCATAATTTAGGGTAAGTCCTTAAAGCAGCATGGGGTGGGGAGGAAAAGATTTGTGACTTTAATGTCACTTTAACAACCCTTCTCGGTCCCATTTTGATCCATAACCCTGTTGTTCATTAACAGGTTATTTTTATTTCTGTTTGTGCTGTGCTATAGCTGCTTCCAAGGCCTAGACCCAATATATAGGGGTTCCTAAATGGGATCTAAAGCACTAGGCACTGTCCCCGTTTTCAGATTCTCACCGTGTAAAGCCCCACTGTTCATTCACAATTGTAAACGATCAGCCAGCACTGCAGGGCTATGTGATCTATCTGCAGGTGCAGTGTATGGTTACGAGCAGCCAGCAGATGGATCACATACCCCTACAGCACTGACTGCTTATCACACTAAAGCTGGCCATACACCTTACAATTATCTGCAGATTTTCTGTGGTCAGATGCAAGCGCACACTGCCCGTTCAGCATTCCAATCATCGGAAGCCCGCCCCTAAAGAAGGCGAGCTTGCGATGTTCGCAAGTACTATCTTCCTGTCCAAGATGGGCAGATTATATGTTTTTTTTAATTACCTTACAACCATTGCAAGACAAGTCTTGCGATAGTTGTAAGGTGTATGGGCACCATACAACTATCAGTCAGTTCTGCAGGGCTATGTGATCTATCTGCAGGTGCAGTGTATGGTTACTAGCAGCCAGCAGGTAGATCACATAGCCCTACAGCACTGACTGCTTGTGTGTTGGTGTGATAAGCAGTCAGTGCTGTAGGACTATGTGATCTGGCTCCTAGTACACTGTGTGACCTAACATACACTGCATAGATCACGCTGCCTTGCAGCTCTGACTGATCTTTTACTAGTGGATTATGAATGGCGCTGACCCCTCCCTCTGCTTAACTGAATGATGGTGCTCCTTTTTAGGGTGTCCTGCTGTTAAAAACAAGTGCTATCAGGGGTGTGGGTGACGGACAAACAGGCTGCTGGTCGTGTGTTATTGTGAATGAGCAGGGAGCGCTGCAGGGCTATGTGATTTATCTGCTGGTTGCTAGTAAACTTGCATTAAATTGGCAGATCACCCAGCCCTGCAGTGCTGACTGATCTTTTACTAGTGGATTATGAATGGAGCTGACCCCCTCCCCCTGCTTTGCTGAATGACGGTCCCTGTTTTCAGGGTGTCCTGCTGCTAAAGAGAAGTGCTGTCAGGGGCTGGCTGCTAAAAGTGTACAGCCGGCCAGAGCACTTGTACAAAATGAGCGTTGGCTCCCCTGCTCTACATTTAGCCCTGCTTGCCCGTTGTGTAAGCATTGTCACCCTCGAACAGGATGTGTTTTATTATCAGATGCAGCAGGTAAAAATTAGAAAA